GTCCCCTCCCCCCCGTGGGCCCCACCCCCCGCCACCTCGCCCAGCCTCTCTTTCAACAGCAGCCTTTGGAACCAGGAGAAGATCCACTCCCCCCTGACTCCCAGGACCGGCACCAGGTGAGTCACCTAGGAGGGGCGGCGGCCTTGGAGGCCCCCTCCCCTGCTAGGTTGGGTGGGGGCCTGCGCCTCAGGGCTTGGGGGACTCTGCCACTCCGAGCCAAGTTACAGGGCAGGACCTGGGAGTGGGCCGGAGAGCTAGGGAGAGGTTGTCCGGGGCAGGTTGTTCTCAGTTCTTGGCTTGGCTCATCCAGACCCTCTCGGGTCCCAAGGACTTGGAAAGCCCAGCCTGCTTGCGCCGCCCCCGGGGGGTGTGGGCTGCTTCGGGGAAAAGTTGGCCGGGCTCGCACCCGGGCCGGCGGAGAGGTGCCTGCGCCGCCCCCGTGGCCGTCTAACGGCGAGCAGCTTGGCCCCTGGTGCCCCTGGTGAGGTTCCCTGCCCGCGGTGCTTGTTTCTTCGTGTCCCGAGCTGATGCCAGCACTAGCAGGCTCCTCTTTGGAGTTGGAGCTGTAAACAGCTGTAATAACTGTTCCACGCCCGCTGAAACAACTTTTAACCGTACTTTTCAGCGCCGGGTTCTTGTGCGCTGACCAGAATGTGAGCTTTTTCACACTTACCTGCAATTTGAGACCGATTGTCCTCAGCGTTCTCGTGAGGATCAGCGCCCCTGAGGAATTCTGGTAGAAATATGCCGTCTTGCTAGACAACTTCTGAACAGCAATTTAAAAAATCTATGGAAACAAAACTCACCCTTTGCATGCCGGTTCTGACACTCTTCTTGATGGAGTGGGGTGCAGTGGGTGTGAAGGGTTTTCATTATCGCTAGCTTCAGAACAGGAAGTTGGATTTTTGTTTTGTTTTTGGTATTCTTTAGAGTGTTTGTATCCCTTTTAGCAAACCATTAGCTTGGTTGTTTTCCTAATTCTTTCTTCAAGTAAATTCAATGTACTTGGTATTAAATACTCTCGTGGTTGCCAAAGCTGTCTTACATGTGAATCTTAGGCAAAGCAACCAAGGATCTTTTTGAGTGGTTAAAGACTAATGGTTAGTTTGTACCCTTTTGAGAAAACAAGTTGTATAAGTAACTTACTTGAAGTGACACATGGAAGCCTTCTGTATTTGGTCCATAGTCATTGTCACAACTCTTTAAACATTATTTGTGCTACTTTGACCTTCAAACTTGTACACTTTAGAGCTGTCACATTCATAACAATCTCTGTCAGGACTGACATTTTTCTCTTTTATAATGTGTTTTGTAAAAATGCCCCAGCCCTAAAATGCCTTTCAAACATACTCCAACTTATATAACAGCTTATCATAGAAAAGAATCTGCAGACATGCTCCTCATACCTGAAACTTTAAACACTATGGCTGGGTGATAATTAATTAGGACTCTGGATCTTTTATTTATCTTCCCCCTCCTCATCCCCATAGAAATACTTAGCAGCTGCACATTAATATTCTGTAAAAAGTATCAGAGAGTTCAACTTCTCTAGTCAACTGGTGGTCAAGGCTTTTGGGCATTCAGGGTGGACAGAGTCATGTTCATGGACTGAGGATTAGGCGGACAGCTGTATTCTAGAGCTTCTGGGATAGCTTGGGACTCTCATGGCTTTGTCATGGCATTTAGTTGCCTACACTTGTGTAGCACTAAAATACTTAGGTGTTTCAACACAGTTTCTCATCTCCTTTCCTTTAGAATCTTTCTAGATTAGTCCTTTGGGACAGTCAAAGCAATGATAGTAGCTCTTTACAATTATTGGCATCAACTTGGAATTGAAGTTTTTCAGATTTGTAAGGTACCACCTAAGTCTATTTTGTTGATTCCTTTGGAGAACTTATAGCCCCCGAGGGAGAAGTAAATGGCCCAAGATATCATAGCTTGAGTCAAAACTAGGATGAAGTTGGGTCTTCATCTTCAATTTAGTACATATTACCCCATAAAATAGTATCTACCAAAAAAAATTTTTTGAGGGGAATGAGGCAACCACAGGTTGGAACTCCATAGTAGACTTTTTACAAAATGAAGGGCTCAAATCTGTGTCGTTTTGTTCTGCTCTAACTACATTTTGACCAGGCTAAGTTTAACCATATACTCCTTATTTGTCTTGAACTTAACTTTCAGGAAAACTGGAATATAACTGAGGAAGTGTTAACTCAGATTCAACTTGTTTCTCTTGAGGATATTAGTTTTAGCATATGAATAAGCAAATATATGAATAAATAAATAAAGGAAAAGTTGATTGGCTAATTGAGTTAAATTGATGTGCTATATCTGGGTAAAATTTCTAGTGCCCTGGTGCACCCTCTGCTGGTTTTGCAGTGACATTTAATTGTACTAACTGCTGACAATCAAACTTCTAAGTTGTGCTGACAGATTCTGATTCATAAATAAGGAAGTAAACAGCCTCCTGGGACTTGGTCACGTAGGTCATATTTTATATTTTAGTTTTTTAACATAAACAGCTGCCGTTACAGCAAGTTTTGTACAGAGAGGATCAGAGACAAAAACATGCACCCCCCCATGGGCAATATATTTGGGTTTCATATGAATGTATTTAGAAAGAGTGAAGGCAAGCTGATGATACTAAACTGTGGTGAGCAGATCAGTCAGCTCAGCGGCATTTCGTTATGTAAGGTCGTAGTACACTTAGGCAAAGGTGAAGTTATCCATACTTATAAGATGATTGGACTTCGGGCTCTCAGTCATGACTGAAGGAAGGACTCCAGAAATCACTGAAGGTGTACGTATTGCATACTGTAATTAAAAAAGAAGCAGGATACAGAAGGAATTCAGGAATAAAGCAGGAAAATCAGCAAATTTCTTCAAAGGAGGTATTAGAAAAGAAGGGATACAGTTGCTGGTCATAAAGAGTGAGAGGATAGCATCTGGAATCATGGACTGTCTCCCTTAGCTGACGGAGATAAGGAGCTGTATCTGGATACTTCTTAAAGATTAGCTTAAGGGCTAGGGATGCACCAGTAGCATCTGAATTTGATAACAAATAATTAAAAACATTACAAATCACTGGATCACACTATAGAGAATAAAGTCTGGTCATGATTATGTCCCTCAAATGTCAAAAACATGGTGGAAAATCTCAGGAATGTGTCAACAACAAAACAAAACTTTTTCCATGGAGAAGATCAAAATGAATTTTTGTCTACAATCAGACAGAAAATTCTGGTGGCTGTTTCTCAAGAAAAAGCTAACAACTGATTGATAAAAGATCCAGAAACCCAATTAAATTGATCAAAAGGGGGAGATTTTCTAGTTTTTTTTCAGTCTGGAGAGAGAAGAGAGAGAAAGGGGGGAGTACAAAGTCTTCCAAATCAGGAAAGAGATGAGTATGGTTAGTGTGTTGGTGTAATTTAATGATCTAAGCTCAATAAATAAATATTCCTCTGTGCTAGTGTTAAATAATGTTTGAAAAAGTTATGTTGTGAGAGATAAACAAAGATAGCATCTCATAATCTAAACTGCAGGCAGATCAATAGGAATTTATTCAGGACTGTTGGAAATGCTTGAGGTACATTCCTAATTATTTGAGGTGATGTTATAGAAGGTAGCTTTAATGTTCTGCAGAGATCTTTTGAGTATAACTAGATACATCATTAACATACCAAGATTTGATATTCCTAATAACTAAGACTCATTCTAGGTGACTCATGTTGAACATAACAGATCCCACAAGTTATGGAATATAGATAAGTTGTTTATGAGTTTATATGTAGACTTTTCAATGTGTTCTTTAAGGCTTTTGATGAACTGGTTTCATGATTTTTCTCTTATTTTTACTCTCATTAATTTTACTCCTGGAAGCTACCCACCATATTCTCTTTGGGGATTATTCTGTAGTTGTTACTGATTTTCATCTTAATAATCTGCCTTTACATTAAAGATCATCAGAAATATACATTCTATATTGTCTTTATGATTTCTAACAGCACTAATTATAGGTAAGTGGAAAAATAGTTGTTGAAGTGAAGTTTTTGGGACATGTGTGACATTTATATAAAACAAAGGCATTTTATAAAACAGCTGTGTTTCTCTCTGGTCCTGTTAAGTCTGTGAACTGTCACTTTTGCTTAGGTAAATAGTTCCATTGGTAATGTTTCACTGGTTTCTAAAATAATTAGAAAGTGAAGTGAAAAGAGGACTCCTAATCATGTGATCCATTTCCTAGTTTCACACTTTCCCTCTAAGATGGTACTAAAAGCTTTTTGTAATACATTGCTTGATATTTTATTTGCTTTTCGGTCTCATTTTTCTCTCTTAGATCTTGTGAAAAATGATCTGTAATTTATCTGTAACTACCTTAGAGAGAAGATCTTTATACAGAGAATTTCTGAAGTGATTTGAATTCCCAAGAATATTACCAGGAAAAGCCTTGTGCCTTTGTCTGCAAGGCAGCCATTGTAGAGAACCATCTTTGTCTGACTCCTTTGTAAATACCCAACACCTATTTCCTCATTTCTATTATTTTTCTTTACATTTTATTGACATATAATTACAAATATAGAAAAGCATACACATCATAATTGTACCATTTGATGAAATAGTACAAAGTGAGCACACAAGTTGCTTGCACCTAAGTCAAGAGATAAAATATTTTTAAAACCCTGCAAAACCTTAAATGTGCCCATCTTATCACTATGTCATCCTCACTCTCCAAAGATAATGTTCTACTACCAGAAATAATTTTGTTCATTTTGAACTGTATATAAATGAAATCAGATAGATGTATTCTTTTGAGTCTTGTGTTTTTTTGTTACCATATATTTTTTGAAAACCATACTGTTGCAGACAGAGATATTTTTAATTTCTATTTTGTGTATTCTGTTGTTGAAATATATCATAATTTATAAATCATGGTAATAAATATGTAGGTTATTTCCAATTAGGAGTTATTATGAATAATGATATTTCAGATACTTTTATGCATGTCTTTTGGTTCCAATTATTAGAATTTCCATTGAATATATACCTAGGATTAGTTTCTATGCAATGGAAAATACATATTTTGAAATTATTGATGACAGTTTTTCTTTTTTTTTTA